CATAAACCTTATTGATACTGGCGTGTGGTGTCTCGTTGAGACCGTGCTACAGTAGAAGAAAGTCAGGTGGTTGCTTTCATTGAATCTGTCGAGACATCTGGCTTCAGGATGCAAGAAAAAGTGAATGAAACTCACGTCGGCGTTTAAATACCCCAATAGGTAGTGCCACAGGTTCAGGGGCGCTAGGTGCGTTGGCGTACGGACCTTTCTGGCAACGTCCTCTTTTCTGCCACGGTGTGGCGGACAATAGAAACAGATGGGAGACCGGAATTCAATAGGGTCCGCCTCGGAGAGATCGTTGTCGACCGCAACGGCCTGCGAGAATTTGGGCAAATCACCTCTGTTGCGGGTACATTTCGCTTCCGTTTCTGTCCAGACCCATTATTTCGGCCAGTGGGAAATGGCTTTTGAGAATCACCATACTGCTTCCTCCAGTCGAGCTCCGGTTCGGGGGCCCAGCTGGCCGCGGACACATATCTCCAAAGTATCGAAGGAGATTCACCATCTCCATCTCGCTTAAGTCAGACATCCACCTTCAGCAGATGGCCCTCTGGTTTGATAGATACGATAAAATGCGCCCCAATTTTTTTTTAACTACTGCCAGGGGGAAAGAGTTTATCATATGGGATCTTTGCTTCTATGCAGCCCAAAAGGTTGAGATGCGACCGCAGCCCTGTCAACGGATAGATAATTCGACATTTCCACTCAATTCGATCATTCTCGCGTATCTTATCGCGATCAAAATGCGGCGTTGTGCTGTATACCTTGGATGAGACGATACGGCTGGGTCGATCGTTTCGATCCAGGTAGATTATAGGTCTACATAGGCTTTGGAATAAAGACTCTCGATATCTTAGTGTATAAATATACCGAAATCCGTGTTCAGAAGCAACGAAGCCCGTAAGCCAATCCCTGTCCCGAGCAAGAAGGCTTGACGCTAATATACCGACTAGGACGCATGATCTTCAGTCAAATGCAGGAAAGTAGATGAGGTAAGGTAAGCCTGATTTAATCTATCATTTTGGCACTTAAATTTGTCGATTGGCAAGAGAAGGACATCAAGAGAGACATTCATTTATCGGGCTTGTTCTTCATCTGAAATGCCCTTAAATTAGCTTCTAATATCTTGATCATGATGAATCGAGTGGCTCCTACCTCTGATCATTTGAATAATAATATCTGTATTTTTCAGCATCTGCTCCCATAGACGCTGATATTCCTCAACTTTGCTGATCGGCTCGAGGTCCCTCCTCCCCTGCTGCGCCTTTTGGGGTTGAGTTTGATCCATCTTGGGGCAGAAGGGATAGGCCGTGAACTGGTCAATGAGGAGATGTGCGAATGGAACAGTAGTTTTCAGAGAAGGCGCAGACACAGGAGAATATATAATGTATCGGAAATGCCCAGAGATAAATTCGCCAATAAGGTAGCCTGGGCCCTGAGTTGTCCTCTTCACACCTCGTCATAGAGGCCGCCAACGGGTTTCGGGGCCAGTACTATTGACTAACGGAATTCGATCCAATCTTGCTAATGGTTGCCTCTCAACAGAGTTTCTTTTACTTTATACGAGCATATAGAAACTTGGTATTAGAGCAAGAGAGTCGTGTCAAACACTTCTGCAACTTGTGCTCATTTCTAATTTGACTTAAGATCAAACCAGAATTATACTTGAACTGGGCTTGGCAAACTGATAGGATTGGCTTTTGGGAATGATTACGCGTTGGTGATTATATACTAGGCTTTCTTCGCCAACAGTATTTTTCGGCTAATCCCATCTTGTAGCATGTGTAAATTTCCTCTTTGAGTTTCAATGCAATAACATAAAAATAGGTCTAACCCTAATCATCGAAAGCAGAGTAGAGTAAATGTGCGCACGAATATTTGAATTGTTTGAATTTCACAAATTTCCGATAGGTTCGCGAACGAGTGTCTAGTCTTTGAGTAGAAGCCCAGATAGGATGTAAAGAGTGCCGATTATTGAAAGACAGCCTATAGTTAGCTCAGTAGTAAGATCAGCTTGTTGAAACTAATGGGTTAGTGTCGCCAGCGCAGGGCGAGTTACCTGTTCAGCAGGATCAAACGGCAAGGAGGGCTCCGCCAGAATCTAGTGAATACAGGGAGATTGGCTACGTATTGAAGCATTTCATGTAAAAATTGCTGAATATAAATTAACCAAAGTGTTGTGGTTGGAAGGTCTCCGTTTTGAAAAATTGTTGTGGTCAGAGTTGACAGGTCGCCCGTAGATTACGTTAGATGCATGCAATGCGTTTACACAAATTGATGTAACGGTTGTGTGTCATAGTTATTTCGAGATTTCTCATATGAGCACGTATTGGTCTCTTTCTCCAAGCTATCTTCACGAAAGAACTCGATGGTCAAATTCTCGTCACCGAGTAGCAGCATCGTGGGCCTTGAGGTTACAAATAAGCCAACGAGACATCCGTAACTCAATATGGGCTTACGCTATGGATATATTTCAACCGACTAGGTCGCCCTTTTGCAAATCATACAGTAAAATAGTGGTTTTGAGATCCATACGTTAAGAAATCTGTATAGATGGTGGAAGCGCATCTCTGCGTTATCCTATCAAGAGGTCTGTTGACAGCGCATGTGACTTTGAAATTGAGCTTTAGTACACGCTGCCGATGTATGCAGCATAAAGACATAAAGAAATGGAATTCACAGTACATACCTCCAAGAAACTATTCTTCGCAGATAGAAGATACACCGGTGGGAGCGAACAATACGACGCTGGATATAACGAAGACGGCAAATCTCAATGTTTCTCATTCGGCGACTCTTGTCTTAATGGTTTGATGGATGGTTACAACGGGCACCCAAATTCATTTTGCTCTCAAGAGCAGCATCGCCGACCAAGAGCACGGTTCGCAATCTCCAGCACAGAAAGCCAATGCTCGATTTTTATAGGAAATGAAATGGGAATAGTGACTGTCGGAATTTCATAGAATAGTCCAATACGATCACGCGCTACAGGTAAGTGAAGATTAAGAATGACAGAATATCGTCTTTTTAAACCCAGGCAGAGGTCTAAAAACGTGCCATTTTCTTGACGCAGCACTTCCTTTTGCGAATATTTCCATTGGCAAAAGCATTACCCCACTTTTGTGTATTGACGGATGCAATATATCCCACCTCCTACTTCTGATTGGCTTTGCCATTGGCGTGATCGCCACAACAATTGGAACTGCGGCTGAACATAATATCAATATTTTTTTGACAGCGGGGAAGCTACACCTTTGGAGTGATGGCAGTTGTGGTCGCTGCGTTGACCTTTTCAGCACTTATTCTCTATATTCACGATTTGCCCATGATCAAACTTGATTTATCTTGCATTGCGTCATTTTCACAGATCATCTCTACGCCAAAGAAGTTTACTAGCCAATGTGCTTGAATAAAGTCCAGATCCGTTTTCTTCTGTTTGTTTTTTGTGGTGTTTTGAGCGTCAGTTTAAAAGCTGATACTAGTCAAAAGCCCAGGCTGTGGGACACCGGCACAGCGACTGATTGGCTTGCAAGTGATGTTTTTTCTGTTAGTCACTGTACGATCGGTAACCAGAAAAAGAATTCCCCGTTTTGATATTGCCTGACAACTGGGATTTGGGTATGACAACAAGGTTTGATAGGGTAAGAGAAAACACTGGAAGAGCATCACATATCGGCTTTGTCATAAAGTATCATCCAGATATTCTATTTCAAGTGCAGACGACTAAAACCACCGGTGAATAGGCTGCGATTTCAAGCCTTACAGTAGTTTTCGAAATCAGTCATACCTCCATACTCTTACTTCTTGATTCGGAAAAACTGATTCCGACACGCGCTAGGCTAGATTGACTCACCGTCTAATAATTCTGGCAGAACTGTTACGTATTGATTGTATTACTATCAATTGGTCATCGTCACATCCTTGTAATGTAACATATAACCATTCAAAATTATTTTGTTGATCAGGCAATCTGATCGCCAGCTAGCCTCCCTCTAGCCTGGTTATATGGGTGGCCTACTGGCTGGTCCACTTCGATGCCCAGTCAATAAAATAGTGATACAGACGCGCTCGAAATCAGTTTCACTATTTTGTTCTCCTTGATTGCTTTCCAGCTACTATTTTTATCGACACTAAGCCTGACTAGCTAGTCTATATTCGTTGCCCTCTTCCTATTGGATAGTCATGACCAGGCTACGCCAGATGTAGGCTGAGGTGGGTCTAGCCAAGACTTAAGAAAGAACCGAAGAGAATAAAATGGTGAAACTAATTTCGAGCGCACCTGTAGTAAACGCTCCTCTCACTTTCTTCTTACGAGGCCTGCGCCTTCTGCTCATCATCACTCATGAGGACTCTGGTGTCAGCTTCATGTACATTCCAAAACTCACCAACCATTGTGAATAGAGGGAAATCTTTTTTTGAAATGAACGGTCAAGCTTTGGTATTTGGCAATGCCCGAGTTCACTATCTTGCAATGCGAAGCCCACCTAGCTACATTTATTGTGGCGGGTGTAACCAAAGGCTATTCGCGCGGCACCTATTATACTTACTCTGGTTGCAAAGATTCTATCTGCTTAGAAAACTTACGTGACTTATAGGCAAAATATCTAACATACTTCTGTGGCCACGAAAATCTCGATCCATTCTGTAAATCCAGTTCGTTGGACTGTGCTTGATGTGATGAAAGAGGACAAGGGTTCATCACATGATTTCTCGGGGCCGGGTGAAGGGCAGACAGATGGTATGGATTTACTCGTGCAGCCAATCATTGTGCGGCATGGTGGATAACCATCTTCGACTTTCCGAGCCCAACACATTTCCCCCTCCATCATGTTGGTAAACACACTTATCCGGTACAGTAGTAGTTGGATCAAAAATGCCTGATTCTCCTCTTGAACTTTCAAAAATTGCCTCTCGGACTGCATTATAACAACACTGGTCTAAGCTTAGTTCGTCTTAGATGAGTCACATCGATCCCGATATATTTAGTAAGAAGAATGAGACTATAATGAACGAAATTGGTAGATGTTGCGATTGTCACCGGTGAGATGATATTTATGAATGACTCTTTTACGGTCAAATCTCAGCCCCTTTAAGGCCAATCCTACTTCTTGGAGAAGGTCAAATCCATAGGTGGGATATTCTCTAGCCTCCTCCGCAAATTTGTGATTTTCACAAAGAAGGTATCCGCTCAATGTTGCTGCAGCTAGAATGCGACGAATTTCGTGCCCTTGAGGCAAGAAAGTCGCCGAAATGATGTCCTGGGATGTGAGGCAATAGGTGTCGACACCGCCCCCACCCTCATAGTCAGGACAGGGGCTGGCGATCAGGATATCTTTGGGATATCGACCGATTTGAATTTGCATTCCAGTAACATTGCACATATCTGCAAACCGGGCCAGCTCGATTGTGGCTGCGATATGGTGCTCAGGCTCATCCAAATCGAATTTGAATTTGCCGAGGTATAGCCATTGTAAGAAAGCTTCGAAGCTTTGAACCGAAACAATCCCTTCGACTTCTTCCAAAATTGTCGTCTGCTGCCCTCACTCTTTAAATTTGTCCTCGAACATTGCTGAGAAATATGTAGATTCCCTGCAAAGAAGATCCTTCGAAACTTTGTATTTGTACTCAATAGAGCTGATTCGAATTGTGACGCAGGCATTATGATAGAGGGGAATGATACTAGACCAAAGGGCGTTCAGATAGACTCATCGCTAGAAACGGCATAGTACATACGATCTCGCAAAATGCTTGGCACTTGCTTCTGACATATCGGACATTGTTTCAAATTAAAACTCCGTGAAATCGTGGGGAGAGGATACTGAATAGGAATTAGAAACGATGATATGGGATTGTTACAGGATGGATCGAAATCAGTTTCACCACTTGCACACGGAGAATCTATCTCGAACCCTCTTTTGAAACACGCTTTACTTATTACAGCTACTCTTCCCCTGAACCCCTGTCTTGGCAGTATTTCAATACACGTGTAAATAACAGCATAAAAATAGCTTCTGTATTAGACCTGTATGGCTCTTTGGCATTCTAGAACGTTGACCCTGCAAACAGGCCAAACACAAGGGTGGTTTGCACTTCTCGTCTGGAGATGTGGCAGTAATTCGAATCCCACTCCCGTCAACCGCGCACCGCTACATTGGCCGCGGTGTATAGAGACAGTACTAGTGGGTAATATTTATTTGCTTTGTGTAGCAAGCTTGACCTTCAAATGGAAGACTAGCATTTGCTTGACTGACTGGCTGTGATCATGCTGACGTTGGATTCTTTGGAGCCTTCAGACGAAGACGATGACAACTGATTCATATCCCGATGAACGTGATTTTCAACCGCATTTACTTGAACTTGGAGACCATCATTCGCAATATGCTCCCTTTCCAGGATACCACGGTCGCACACCTGCGTCAAGCTGTGGGCTCAGCCCTTCCCCTGACTATCACTCTGAGCACGATCTAGAAGACCTGTGCCAACTCGAGCCCGAAAGACCCAGACTGCTTCAGCTATCGGAGTGGCACGATGGGATGCAAAGTGACGAGCTTCCGGCAAACTGCATCCAATATACGATAGAATGGAAAGTTACAGTGAATAAGATGCTCTCGCGAGACACTGAAGAGGATGTAGTCCTGACTCCGAGTGCTTATTGGCCGAAGACTCTGAAGGGTAAGCTTGAGAGGTTGCTAGAAGGGAAAATCCCCCGTAAAGGAAGGGTAATGTCGGACGACACTTCAATCGCTGTATCGGTGAATGATCGATCCCAACGCGACCTGATGAAACGGTTTGACCATCTCGACATCGACTGGACTGCTGTTGAAAAGCAGCTGTTGAAGTGGGGCGAACTGTTTTGTCGAGGTAAAAAATTGAGGCTAAGTATCACCTTCAAATATGTTGAGGACGACTCTCTTCACAAAATTACCTCGGGTAGAGTCGAGAAAAGAGGAAGGTCATCGGTCACTAAACGAATGCTCAACGAGCGAGACGCTCAACTGGATGCCGAAGAAAATGTGTCCGGGCAAGAATCGATATGGCGGGGTGTTTACAATCTAATGCGTTGCCCATCCTCCTCATGCCATCTCGGCCCACATTGCTGGCAAGGCCCCCACGGAAAGAAGCACTATAAATTGAGGAGCCATCAACTGAAACGTTTCATCGCCTTTGTGGAGAAAGGCGGCGCCTTGCTGTCTCATGAGGATGTCCCGGATAATTTCCGTGAGGAACTATATATGGAAGAGCGGCATAGACTGGAAACCCAACAATCTCAGACGAACAAGATGGTAGGCACCCCAGGAAGCTGCCAGCCTATCAATATCAACTTCAATGGGATGCAATCTTCCCCGCCACAAGGCACGTCCAACCCAATCACAACCTCAGCAATGGTTCTGCCCCCTAATGACCAAGTTATGGAAGACCTCAATCTTACTGGGCTAAGAGACGAAGCCCTCAAAGATTACGGCGCATGGCATGAACCGAATGTTGGTGACGAAAATCTGAAAGCACAGTTTCGGCAAGCATGCAATCTGGCGTTAGCCAATGGTCTTGACCTAAGACTGATTTACGAGGACCAAAATCCCTCATTCTTCATCGACAAAGGGATTGTGGTGGGTATTGCACGCCAATTTGTGAGAGATATTGGCCAATGGGTTAAGTGTGTAAGGAATGTCACGCTGGACGACCAAGCTACGCAGGCTGCAGCTTGAACCCACATGAAGGCGTAAGAAGGCGCTCGTATACATACACACTAGATTGTCTTTTAAATCACTTCTGTTTAATGCAAATCCTTAAATCAATGATTAAACCACAACTGTACACACAAAAGTAGAGCTGGCAGAGAATTGAGTAACCTGTAGCTGGTAGTATGTATGCATTGTATCATTCTAGGACCTAACGCCAGATCGCCTCTAACGCTACTAACTAGCCATGGGTGTCAATGACCACCCCAGAATGTCGGAAATGACCCAAGGCACTCTGTTTTCGAGATCCAACAACCTCAATACACCGCTCGAGGAAAGTTTGAAATCCTTGTGCTAGGTCTTCTTCATACCGCACAAAGTTCCGTCTAATATATGCCTTTAACTCAGAGAAAAACTCCTCGATAGGATTCAAGTCGGGCGAGTAAGGTGGTAGATACACGAGCTTTACCCCTGCTTCGATGCACATTTCTTCAATACGATCAGAATGGTGGAAAGATGCGTTATCCATAACTAGAACGGACTTTGGTTCAGGCCATCTACCACAATGCCGAAGAAGCTGACCAATGAAGTCCTCGAAGACTGCAGCATCCGTGGAGCCCTGGAATACCCGAGAGAGCAAAATCCCATCTTGGCAATATGCGGGTAGTATCTGGTACCGCTGGTCACGATGGAAGTTGGCTACCTGCAATGGCGCCGTGCCTAACGGAGACCAGCCTGTCCGTCTGAACCCAATCCGTTTATCACATCCAGACTCATCCACGTAGACCAAGTGATACGATTCAAATTCGGACAGGCTATGCAGATAGAAATCTCGTAGATCCGCATTCTGTTCCTTTGCTCTCTGTCGAGCCACTTTTTTCGACCAGCCCACCGAAGCAAGAGCCCGTTTGAGACTCGAATTCGTGACCTGGATGCGGAACTCGTCCCATAAAAAGATAGCTATCTCGTCCACATATAGCCCGGGCTTTTCGAGGAGGCGATCGCATAGTGTTTCTATCATCGGAGGTGTTAAGGCCCGTCGTCGACCGACTCGAGTTGGGGGTGCTCTAACATTTCCAAACTAGCGGAGGTTGTTGCTGATGTTGATGATGGAACGCTTACTACATTCAGCAGCTTTAGCCATTTGCAAGGCAGTCAATGATTTGCTCGATATCATGTCCTGGATCATTTCGAGCTTTGAGAGAGGGAGTCTTGGCGCCATGTTGCGAGGAGAAGTCTGGACGTTAATGAAGGAGAGCGATGGCAGACGCAATGGTCTGGTACTGGTGAGGGGCACAGGGAGCGACTTCGTCTGCTCACCCTTGCTCACCCCTCTGCTCAGTGAGCAGGCAAAATGAATCTGGGTGAAAACTCTGGGGGATGCTGGCTAATAGGAACTGCACGTGACATGGGCAATCTCGCAGTTCCTGGGAGCTTGGGGGCCCATCTCAAAGCTGCGGACCTCAAAAAAGTGGTTGCTTGGCTGGAAAACTATACGTTAGGTTCACCATAGCAACAACAAATTGCGATCTCAAAGTATCCATCTTGTACTTGAAAAAACCGTCATCAATAACCTCACGACGTGATACTATCAAAGCATGCTTTTCACCCCGCAGGTACCGGGCTGATTATCGCGTGCTGCGCTTGAGCTGAGTGTTCTGGCTCGGGTCGATCCGTTTCCTGGGAAGGTGCAGGCCTGCCCCACGGCTTGACGTGGGTGGCCTGCAAATCTGGTCTCCTGTCTTAGCGCCGCAGAGCCGAGTCACCTGATCACGTACCCCTCCTTCAGTTGAGAGCCAGAGAAGAGCCTGCAATGAACTACAGACAGGCAAATTTATACGATCATGGCGTCGACAAGTCACTCCGGTGTCAACTATGGAGCCCAGGTGGGAATCAATTATGGCACATACACGGCAGATTTTCATCTGCCACCGGGTAAGTCAGGAACGGAACCAAACAAGGTCAAGACCGAGTGACTAATTGCCGATTCCCTCTAGAGCGGCCAGAAATTCCGCCGAGCCCTTTGTCAACTGTGCCATTCCCACGCGATCCAGATTTTGTCCGTCGCGAGACACTGCTTGATCAGATCTACAGTAAGAACTCGGTTGCGGGGTCAAGGATAGCGCTGATTGGCCTCGGTGGTGTTGGGTAGGTGCATTACGGCTCTTACGTGGTCTATTGCTGACAACTCGAAGAAAATCGCAACTTGCGATCGAATACTCCTACCAAGTCCGATCCAAATCACCGGCAACATGGGTTTTCTGGGTCCATGCGAGTAATGAAGCCCGATTCGAGCAAAGTTTCCGGGACATCGCGGACCAGGTTAAAATGCCGGGTCGTCAAGATGCTAAAGTTAACATATTCAAAATGGTCGAAAACTGGCTCCGCGATGAAAAGATAGGAAATTGGGTTTGTATCCTTGATAATGTCGATGACGATCAGCTTATTTGCTCGGTTCCGGTGGCAGGCAACGGAGATCCTATGAGCGGCTCAACGAACGCCTCGACAAAACCACTCTTACAATACGTTCCTAGAAGCCAAAATGGGTCTGTCATCATCACGAGCCGGACTAGAGAGGTTGCGTTGAAGATGGTCCATCACAGCGACCTTGTTGAGGTTAAACCCATGGAAAAGTCCGAAGCGCTAGAGCTTCTCCAAAAAAAGCTTGAACAACCAGGAGAGAGCCAAGAGAGTCGGCAGTTAGTGGAAGCGTTAGAGTCCATGCCGCTAGCGATCGTACAGGCCGCTAGCTATATTCGAAACCGGGCGCCTCGGTTTTCGGTATCACAATATTTGAAACATTTCCTAGGGAGTGACCGTGAAGCAACAAAACTTTTGAAAAAAGAGGCGTGTCACCTCTACCGGGACTGGGAAGCAAAGAATTCAATTTTGGTGACGTGGCAAATATCGTTTGATTATATACGCCAAACAAAGCCGTCAGCAGCGCAGTTGCTTTCTCTGATGAGCTTTTTCGATCGGCAAGGAATACCAGACAATCTTATCCGGGATCGGCCTAAGGGCAACTGCATATCAAATTCGGAACTTCTAAGTGACTCCAGTGACGGGGAGACATCTGATTCTGATTCAGGTCCCGATTTTGAAGATGACGTCGCAACACTTAGGGCCTATTCATTTATATCTGTCGTTGAAAACAGCACTCTCTTTACGATGCATCGACTAGTGCAATTGAGTACGCGTACGTGGTTGGAATCCCATGGACGAGCAGAGCAGTGGAGGGAGAAGTTCATTGGCAATTTGTGTCACAACTTCCCGACCGGCGAATACGAAAATTGGGAACAATGCCGGTCACTGTTTCCTCATGTCAAAACCGCAATGTCACAACGACCAGAATCACTTGAGACTCTGCGGAAATGGGCTACTTTGCTCTACAGAGGTGCGTGGTATGCCTTGGAAAGCGGGAATATTGCGGAATCAAGGGAAATGGCATCGAGATCGAGCAAGGAGAGGTTGAAGGATTTCGGCGCAGAGAATCAAGAGACTCTCGATAGCACTACGATTTTAGCAATAGCCCATCGACTCGAGGGGCGATGGGAGCACGCGGAACAACTTGAGATGCAGGTGATGGAGACTTACAAGGCGAAGCTTGGTGCTGGCCATCCCGACACTCTGAGAAGTATGGGAAACTTAGCGTCGACTTATAGGAAGCAAGGTCGGTGGGAGGAAGCAGAGCAGCTCTTGATGCAGGTGATGGAGAATTATGAGTCGGAGCTCGGCATGGACCATCCTGATACACTGATGATCATGGCCAACCTTGCAGCAACATATAGAAAGCAGGGAAGGTGGGACGAGGCGGAGCAGCTTGAAGTGCAGGTGATAATGTCTCGCGAGACAAAGCTTGGTGTGGAGCATCCCTCCACGTTAACGAGCATAGGCAACCTGGCATCGACGCTCTGGAATAAGGGCCGATGGGAGGAGGCCGAGCTGCTCTTTGCACAGGTGATGGAAACTTGTAAGACGAGGCTTGGTGAGGACCATCCTGAGACTCTGGCCAGTAAGGGTAACTTGGCATCGACATTCTGGAGCCAAGGCCGGTGGGAGGAGGCAGAGCAACTCTTTATGCAGGTGATAGAGACTTGCAAGGCGAAACTCGGCGGGGATCACCCGGATACGCTGAAGAGTATGGCCAACCTGGCATCGACGTATAGGAAACAGGGCCGATGGGAAAAGGCACAGCAGCTCGAGGTGCAGATGATGGAGACTTGCAAGAAAAAACTCGGCGAGGACCATCCCTCTACGCTGACGAGTATGGCCAACCTAGCCTTCACTTCGAAATGGGCAGGTCAAAATCTCTTCGCTATTGATTTATTAAGAACCTGTGTGACGAAGCAACGACAAATCATTGGTCTTGCCCATCCTCACACTGTATCCAATTTCAATGCCTTGGTGGAATGGGAAATGGAGGGGCTGAACTTTGATACATGATTTGAATTATTATCCTCGGAGCTTTAGGCCATCACAACGATCAAGGAAAGTAAATATACCGTTGATGGCCAACTTGGGTGTCCACTAAAGGCTACCCTGTCAATCTTAGTACAAGCATTCTTCAGGCCAGAGTTCCAGAAATTCTACTAAATGAGGCCGATTACGGATGTTTATGTGACAGTATTTCCAATAAATTACGTAGCCGTCCGTCATATAATTCTCTCGTACAGTTTTTTTCAGTATTTTGAAACGAGTTAAATCAAAGATAGACTTGCGTGTTTCAGTTAAGGTTTTGAGAAACAATGGGTGTGAGTAAAGTGGTGAAACTGATTTCGATCCATCCTGTATCTCATTCCACAGGAAAATTGCAATTAGTATCGTCGTGGTGCTTTGAATTGGAAAAAGGCGCAGACCTGTGAGGGGTCGACCTTCTTATCGAGAATCCATCTATGACCTGACTGTGAGGAAACCAGTAAATACTTCACAATTGCTGGTATCTGGACGTAGTTTGCATTCTATCGCCACCCTAGTAACCTGCGGGTGATTCCGGATTTAATCAACTAGGTCAAGTGACACATTATTCCTGTTCCTATCAGCACAAAGGATAAAGAAAGTATTAGGCTAGAACCCTGGTTTCATAAGCGTGTTCGGCCAATGAATGGCGAATGCTAAGCGCCTATGAAGTCACCTGATAATGAGGCTGAGGATAGGCATCTGTGATTGAAAGAAGCCTTTTATCTTCATTCTACCCCAAACACCATCAATTATGTACACCGTGTGTTGAGTATGAACTCTATAAAATTTGGCGATGAAAATTCAGGTTCCCAGGTGGGGATCAACAATGGTGTGATAAATTTTTTGGAGGGTGAGTTTTTAATAGCGTGGACGATAGCTCAACGCTAGATCGACTAACAGCGGTATCCTCTCCTAGAGCGACCAGAATCCCGCCCAGAGCCTCTGTCAACCGTGCCGTTCCCACACGACCCAGACTTTGTCAGTCGCGATGCGCTATTTGACCAAATTGATAATAAAACTTCGATCGGAGGGTCCAAAATAGTACTTGTCGGCCTCGGCGGGGTTGGGTGAGGACAACGTGGGCTAAGGACGGTTCGTTCAACGCTGACTATGCAACAGAAAAACACAACTTGCCGCTGAATACTGCCACCGCGTTCGACAAAAATCGCCAGGGACGTGGGTCTTTTGGATCCACGCGAGTAACGCGGCCCGCTGCGAGAAAAGTCTCCGAGACCTCGCGGATCGAACCAAGATTCCCGGGCGCCAGGACCGCACTGCCAATATATTCCAACTTGTCGGGAACTGGCTACGAGACGAAAGGATCGGAAAATGGATTCTCGTACTTGATAATGTCGATGATGACGGGCTTCTCCGTAAACCTTCGGCGACCGATCAGGAAGGTCAAGCAAACGGCCAGAGCAACGCTTCGACGCAGCCACTGCTAAGATACCTCCTCGAGAGCTCAAATGGCTCCATTATTGTCACAAGTCGGAACAAAGGAGTTGCGTTAGAGATTTCCGGTTACAAAAATCTCATCGAAGTGCAACCAATGGAGAAGGCCGAAGCACTAGATCTGCTTAAAAATAAGCTGAATATGCCTGCAGAGCGCGAGGACATGGTACAGCTGGTTGAGGCGCTTGAATTTATGCCACTCGCGATCATACAGGCCGCTGGCTATATCACGCATCGCTCACCTCGTTGCTCTGTGTCGCAATACCTATCAAAAATTCGGAAAAGCGATCGCGAAGCAGTACGACTGCTTAATTACGAGGCAGGTCTTCTTCACCGAGACTGGGAGGCCAAGAACTCTATCCTATTTACATGGCAAATATCATTTGACCATATACATCGTGTGAGACCTTCTGCAGCAGGCCTACTCTCTCTTATGAGCTTTTTCGACCGGCAGGGAATTACAGAGAGATTACTCCGAGTTCAGCAAAGCCAAGAAACCAACAGCAACCTGTGTCCGGGGAAGGATAAGGATAATACTAGTGAAAAGGATGCAGACAGTGCATCCGACTATGACACAAATGAGCGTTTCGAAGATGATGTTGCAACTCTTAGTGACTACTCATTGATTTCAGTCCGGGGACACAGCACAGTGCTCACAATGCATCGACTAGTGCAATTGACTGTACGCACATGGTTGAAAACTCATGGCCAGCTCGAGCAGTGGAAGGGAAAATTCATACACAATCTCTGTTGTGAATTTCCAGACGGTGAATATGAAAGCTGGGAAATGTGCCGATCGCTTTTTCCACATGTTAAATCAGCGGCGTCCCAACGACCGGAAACACAACACTCTCTACAAGAATGGGCTACGTTACTTTACAGAGGTGCATGGTATGCGTGGAAAAGTGGAAACATAGCGGCATCAAGGCAAATGGCATTAGAATCGAGAGAGCAGAGATTAAAGTTTTTTGGCGCAGACGGTGAGGAGACTGTGAACAGCACTGCGCTATTAGCAAGGTCATACAGACTGGATGGCCGATATGATGAGGCAGAGCAGCTCCAGGTGCAGGTGTTGGAGGCAAGCAAGACGAAACTCGGGGAAGACCATCCTGACACACTCCTGATTATGGCCAACCTAGCTTCGACATATAGGAGCCAGGGCCAGTTGGATAAGGCGGAGCGGCTCCAGGTGCAGGTGATGGAGGCAAGCAAGACAACGCTCGGCGAGGACCATCCCGACACGCTGACAACCATAGCCAACCTGGCAGCGACTTTCTCGGGCCAAGGCCGATGGGAGGAGGCCGAGGAGCTCGATATCCAGGTGGTGGATACTCGCAAGGCCAAATTTGGTGAGGACCATCCCGACACGCTGGCCAGCATGGCAAATCTTGCGTTCACTTGGAAATATATGGGTCGACATACCGACGCTATCGATTTGCTCCGAAGTTGTATTCTGAAGCAGCACCAAATCATAAGTCCCGCTCATCCTCACGTTGCTTATAACTCTAATGCCCTGCTCGAATGGGAGATTGGGGCACCATATATCGATTCATGATACGTTGAATTACTATCTTCACCTAGCTCATGTTTTATTGGGTAGTCTTCCCTAGATTTCCCTTTGTACTGTCGTCGCAAAAGCGATCTAATAGAAACCAGTCTAATTAGCAATCGCGTACTTTATCTCTCTCCGAGCATACGTGTATTGTTTTGCATGCACCATACATCATACTCCAAACTTCGGCGTCGCAACCCCTGTAGTAGAGCAACTCTGATCAGGTCTAGCGTGTCTCGACCTAGGGTTCCAGAAATAAAGGAAATCTAGACCTGCTATCTAAAATCCCCAGATTATTTCAAATTAGAGTGTCAAATAATTTATTGCGCTAGGGTCTTGGTAGTGGGGCCTGGAAATAAAAATCCAATGCCTGGGGCGGAAGCTGATTTCGCTACTGACAGTATCACATTTCCGCGGTCTCAAGTTCTAATCAGATAGTCGACTTATCAGGCAAGTGCGTCGTTCTGACTAGCTTGTTTGCAGGAATGTTGCTCTAGATGCCCTAAAGACCATACGCTGCGAGTTTTAACCTGAAACAATACGTAGTCGTGGCAAGATCACATGTATACTATACCCCATGGGCCAAAAGTACATTTTGTTCCACAAGACGCTTACGACATGTCACCGCATTACCCCTCACCTTGGCTCTAGAGATATATAGTGTTAATTTTCGCTCTTTTTGCACTCTGTTAAAGCACCTCATGAGCTAATTGAGCATTGCGAACAAATACTATCACAAGTAATTCCTATATTCTGGTCTTGATTTCCTAAGAACTATCTTTTGACATGATAATAGACATAGACATGTCGGCATCGAACGGGCCTCTGACTGGAATCGAAGCAGCAGTTCAGCTTCAATATCTGACACAGACTGGGAGCGCAGCTGACTACGGTTCTGAATTCCTGAAGCTTCGAAACAAAATCACACGGGAGACATACATTGCATCCCTTTTCTTCATTGGCCTCAGAAAAGAATTGCAAAATGGTCTTCGTGAATTAGGGGAGCTTCCTGACACGTGGGAAAAGATGGCAGAGAAAGCGATCGCTGTTGAACGCCAACTTACTGAAGAGCGAAGGCAGAATGGACAGTGTTTTAGTTGTGGGAAGCCTGGCCATGCAGCAAGAAACTGTTCAGAATAGTCTTACGCTATCAGCGATGAAGATCCTGTGCCACCTTGCCCTAGATTGGGCTGTTTTTAGTGCTGTTGTTGGTGCTTGAATTGGTGGTTTGGTTGGTCTGCTGGATCAAAGTCCTAGGAACCACTCGAGACCATACAAGTCTAATACAAGAGCTATTGTCACGCCGTTGTTTATTTACAACTGTATACGAGATTACCGCCAAGACAGGGGTTCAGGGGAAGAGTAACCGTAAAAGGCATAGCGTGTTTCAAAACAGGGTTTGAGAAAGAATCTCCATGTCCAAGTGGTGAAACTGATTTCGATCCATCCTGTATATGAGATATAGTAATTGAGGGTGACTCATTTTATGGGTTTGCCGTGCCTCATACAAAGTCCAATATTTGGGCCGTTTTGCATGGCTGCCTTCTTGCCTCGTTTCTGCCCAGAGGCTCTACCTGCCATGTATTTAAGGAAAAGAATGCACGGGCGAGCCTTAGACTCCGCCAATCCCGAACAGAATCATATCGCAATTCGAAGATCACCTCGCGGCCTCCACTGTGGTGGAGATATCTAACAAATCCACGTATTTCCTTGGAATGAGAACTGCAATGGATATCGTCCGCGCCATACTGCTCCGAGTGTGGAGTATTTTCCTGCTTTTGATATATGCGAGGTATGCTGGCGGAGAATGCCACATGCTCCTGTAGTGGCGGAATGCAATTCAGCAGACGCGTCATATCAGGTCCGGAAGGTGGAAGAGCGGAAATCTGCTTCCTGCCAGGTAGCATACGTATAGCACTTTCCTGTAAAATACATTTCGTTATGTCTTGACACTGTATCGTAAAATACCTCTCGCATTGAAAAGGCGGTCTAGAAAACGGGACCTTATGTTATATCCAATTAGAACTTATGACGGCCGGTTTTATTTTACGGCAATCAAGCCGAAAGAGTGTCAAGGTATAGCTGATTTCGAACATTACTGTAAAAGCGGTCCATTCCGGCGCCAATTTCACATTTCCTCATAATTTTGAGTATTTGGTAAACCTGCAAAGTTTGACTATAGTGTCATGGATTCGTGATTGATAAGATCAAATCCAGTTGAATCAAATTATATTTCTATGTACGCTAATAGTATCCAAGGTCATCATTCTCACTGGTTCCATGTTTCTGTCCTGAGGACCGTGTTTGCGTATGGGTAAGTGGCAATGATGAATCGGGCTCAGCATCACGTTCATCGGCAGTGATGGGCGTCTCACCTAGCTCGATAAGATCTTGATATTTGTAGTTATCCTCCTGGCCGTCCGTATTACCTATCAGATCAGCCTCAATATCACTAAGACTCCCGTCCTTTTCTTCTTCCGCCACCTCGATCTCGGCATCCGTGAAGCACTCTTATGCTTAGCATCTTGCTCCTCTAATCGAACCCCGACGTATAAAGGGACGTCATCAAACCTCCATTAGGAGAGCTGACGTTTACAATGAGCAAATAAGATTTACCTGCGCATAGTCGAAAGCATCCAGATACCCCATCAGCTGGACCACAGCGGCGCATACCACCAGGATGTGAAAAATCGAATGGGAGCCCAATAGGTCGAATTTTCCAGGATATTGACTTTCGGGAAATCTAGTCTTCAGAGCGACAGGTATCAGGGTCAAATTCCCTCCTGTATGCAAAATTAGGGGACTTACTGCATAAAACAAAATCCCAGATAGAAGGCAGCCTGCTTTTGCCAGAGTAGAGGGGAAGGCTTTTCTCATCATTTGTGACATGCCGAACGCAATGAGTCCGTGGATCAAGGGTGCAACGCCGCACAAGCCAGTCACCACGAACATCAACACTCGGAAGAGGCGATGTTTTGAACCCTGGAACTTGGGATGCATTGTCATGAAGATGGTCAACGCCCCGAAAGCTCCAATCTTTTCACCGAGAAAAGAAGAGTGTCAGACTCAAAGTACCAGGTTTGAGAAGAGGAAGACCAAAACTGTGCACATGGATATTGACTGACCAAAGACCAGTAGATAGTGTGTAGCAAGGATTCACACCAGAAAATAATGTATATTCCCAAGACAAGGTCGCCCAGTATAAAGATCACTATACCCAGCATGTCCAGTCGTAGGCAGAAATGTTCCACGTGTTGAGAGTGGTTCATCAAGGTGTGGTACGTCGCCGACAACGACAGGCTTGTAACAGCCGTCAGCATGAAGATAGAGAAGGCAATGGAATCGGCACCAGTGGACCCGGAGTATCTGCTGGCAAGGTACTGCTGGATATACCAATCACCGAGCAGGAAGAAAATGGCCGGGATGAGGTGGGAATAGATGTTGACTGACTCGTTGTGAATATACGACCAACTGCAGAGCGAAGCGTGAACCGAGCCCGAGATGGGCCGATAGTCACGGAGAATCCACTAGTTGGATTCGCGTCGGAACCATCTCGGCATCTCATCGAACGAGAGAAGAGATGGGCGTTCTTCCGTGCCAGCCTTGGATGTGGTGTCGCTGATGGATTCTATTGCCCGCCCTTGGGGCATCTCTGGCGGCTGCAAGGGCGGAACTCGAAAACGGGGAGCGGATGACATTAGCTGTCGTGCCTGATGACAATGTAATTTGTGGACGCCGGACTTTGAGAGTAAGTGGAAATAAATGATGACAAAGAGTTCCCTGGTGTCGCTCTTGCTTTTTTTCTTGCGCTGCTGCCCTTTTATTTGGTTCTTCTTGCGAAGCACCAGCCTGTTCGTTCGCCCTGTTATACAGCCCCACATGCATCAACCCAGCACGACACAATCAACGTCACGATTGCCCAGGGGGTGGTCGGTGTGGGCTGATCCTTGTGCTTATGGGTTTGAAGTGGGTGTGCGGAGTTGATTTTGAGAAGTGCGCAGCCAGGGGGTCAAGGTCGCACCCCTAGCAGTCAGTTGATATGTAGACGGGTCCTTCGTTATCTTTTCCCTCTTCTTCTATATACTTTCATTTCCGTTTAGATTGACCGGCCGTATTTCAGCCAATCGCAAAATAGCAGCTGACCGGGGTGCACAACTATTGCCCAAGTGGGAACGATGGTGATTTGCTTCTCTCCGGGGCCAGCACTCATTATTTCTGGCAAGGTTGCAGCGAAGGATGTATCAGAGTTGGAAAACACACCGCGCTCCTATTTGGCAACTAACTCCCAATATACAGCTCACTATTTTGGGGCGCTAAACACGAAGGAGAAAGGATAATCTAACAGGATCGTAGACTAAGCACGTCAAGTTGTCCTCAGGTTCTGGGTGTGAATGTACTGTAGCACAGCCTGACCCGACAAAGCCTGATGTGATCAATACATAGCACACTTCTGCCGATCGACCAATGCGCCTCCAGCCAAATAATATGTATATACCTTGTTTCCGTGTCTTTTGCAGCTGTATTTCATTCTTAATTGCTTGGTTATGCCGTTGGATAGTGATTGCGAATGAATTAGCTACTAAAAGTGTATTGTCAAGGCCAGAAGGAGACAATGTCCTATTCCAACAGCTCACATCCAAGTACCTCCTTTTCGTTCGACTTGTTGAGCATTTTTGGCTCAGTTTCCCCGGCTATTGCGGAGATGCTACCAGACAAAAACAACAAGATCCTTGCTGGGTACCATGAGTTTTCTCGATGGTCAATCTCGGCGTACATCTTGGGTATCGCTTTCACGTCTCTTGCTACATACCAATTTGTGGGTTCCAAATATCAGGGCCAAAAACCATGCTCCGACCGTCGTCCCGAGATAGAGGAAGCTCCAACGGCACGCCGGCGTAATGATGCCGCACTTCGGCTTCTTTGTGCGCGAGAACCTACTATAGTCGAATTTGGCAATGGAAGTGTAGTTTGCATCGGTCTATTTGTGAAGAAATGGCCGGTCGCTTCAGGCGATCACTCTGCAGACGCTGCAGATTGCCCCATTCGAACGGAGTAATCTGCCAAAAACGCGGGAGCGACAAAAAAGAAAGCGGTTTATTTACAGCAAAAATCCAATAATTAGAATGCGCCAATCGTGAAATAAGCGGTAAGCCTCAGCGCACCAGCATGCATCTGGACGCCCCCAGTGAAAAGAACCACCTGCAGGCAAAAGGCATTCGTCCTCATGGTGAAGTTGGTAGTGAATTATCTCGAGTCAATCATCTGGAAGACGAGTTGACTCGTGTCACAAGGGGGATACGGGAGGCAATGTGGGTTCTGCAGGCTCAGACGTGGGAAGGAAGCGCGTCAAAAAATGACATGATGAGTCTGCTGACAGCGTAAATAGCATAGTGCTAAGAGCACCGCCGATTGATGCGCGTCGACGCGTTTTGACCGCACATTGCGGTTGATAGGTTGATACAGTGGGCGAACATATTACGCGTAAATTTTTCAAAGCCATATATTAATGAGTCCGACTTGTTCTTACATCCAGCTATTTGTGGCCTAGATGTGATTCCAGAACAATGCGAAAGCCAGTCAAGGCTTACCCTATTCTCATATTTTTCGGTGCGCGTGGGTTTGGGTTGCGGGTTTTGTCTTATCAAGGGATGGAGCTCTGGCCAATAGGGTGGGCTTAAATTGAACCCCCATAAGAGGAAAGATTGTTCTACACCCATCGCAATACGGTCTTGACAACACAAATGATGTTTTTCTACCTCTTCATACCTACTTCTAGAAGAATAAAGGGGGATTTGAAGTGCGATTGCTTTAGTTGGAAGATATTGCGCTACAGCCAGATCTTCGGCCGACGTGTGAAGCGCGTGCCTCGTATACATATTGTAGTGGGGGAACCGCGCGCATGAATAGCCATAGTGATACGGAGCCAGTTCCTCATGCAGATTAGATAAGCTTGAATAGCTTCTTATTCAAGGAGCAACGCAGGCATAGTAAGGAAGTCATCCACCTCCCGAAGTTCAGTTTTCTACGTTTTGTTCTCTCGCTTCCAGTATGACCGCGCGGTAGGCTCGTCTACATTAGGTGCCACTGCGACGTTGTTTGTCTTCTTACTGCCGTCCTGTCTGCTTCGTCAGACTGCCACTGAGCCTTATCCCTCTTCAATATATATTTGGGTTTGTACTCAAATCTTATTCCAGTATGTTTTTGTTCACTGTCACCCAGGCGACGTGCTCTGAATTTCCAGTGCCACATATATCAACTTTGATTAAATTATTGTCGAAGCCAGGACTAATGAAACCTGAAAATTTTTAGCAATACGATAAAAGCCTCTGATCCTAATTAGGCACTGCGGGGAAATGGCTGTAATTGGTGTGTTTTGTGTCTTTCACTCTGTCGTCCGTCTCCACTCCACGTACGTAATAACACATGGTATGCAGTTTGTGCAGGATCCAGGATACTGGGCTATTCTGTCCTCGATGAACAGCCGGTTGTCGGTCTTTTTGGAATGATCGCTTATTCCAGTAGTTCTCCCGGCACGGCTTACCGAGGTTATCGATGCGGCTTTTTAAAGAAACCACAGGTTCCTTGCTGGCAGTTGTGCCCAGTAGGTCATACGGAAGCTCCTGTTTTCCCTCAGAAATGTTGTCACTACCTCCTGTGCTGGAATGCTCCACCCATTCATGACATGGCTCGAGGTCAAGGTTGATTAGCTGGAGGCTTTCACTGGCATACGGCGATACTGCTTTTCTCGCCCTGTCGCGGGGTACCGTAGATATTAGCAATGTTTCAAGTGGATTTGTTGGTCCTGCCTCACACTGTCGAAACTGTTGTGTTAATAAAAGTGGATAATACCGACCGCAGTCTAACCCATTTAACATGAGCGAGATTCAACACCATGGATCATTCATTTGCAACTTATTTACAGTTCCAATCGACTGTACATTTGTATGTGCTTACATCTTCTTTCAGGCTTCAGCTGCTCAGGTCGCCTTGACTTATTAGGTGGCGGCAAGAACGATGGTTTCAGCCCCTACAAACAATTCATGCCATCTCTGTTTATTGATGAGATGAACGAGCTATGATGGCCAGCAGACTTAATCGACAGTTCCAAAGCATTAAAGAGAGCAGGGAGCACTTCAGATCTGATACCTAATGAATGGGGTACTTTTCGCACGTACCATTACAGCAACCAAGCCAAAAAAACGTTGGCAAGAACAAATAACCAAATGTCTCTCAACAGGCTGTTAGAACCATCCTCACCACTTCTGCGCAGTTAGCCTATGTGGCCTACCATACTCGCATAACCGCTGAGTAAGCGCCAGGGGGTTTTCCACAGTAGAGCATACAGGTTCAGCAGCTCAGCGTTTTGTGGATGTTTTATGAGAATCCATCACTGTCACTCCAATTCATTGAAATCAACCTCATAGGATCTGCCTGCAGCAGGCTCTAACACAGGCCTTACTTAGAATAGGGACTATGTCCATCATTTTTTGATACCGTCCAGATTCGAATTGAGCGCTGATAGCGAGTTGTGGTTTTTGGCGATATACGCCAGTCCACGTGCCAGCACAGGCTCGAAATATTTGCCCACTGTGTTATGGCGTCTTGACCCTTTGGGTCTTCAGGAAGTGTTATCGGTAAGTCGTGTTTGTTTCCGGGGGAATACTTTTGCCGGGAGCCAGGGTCAGCTGACATCAGCCAAGAGTACTAAACTGCCGATCGGGGCCTGCCTTTCATGTGACAGTTGTCTCAGGATATCGCTCTTTTTTTCCCTACGAATCGATGGCTGATCCCAGTTTACCGGATTATAAGTCTCTCTATCTCCAGGCGGAAGAGCGACGGAAGCAGGCAGAAGAGCGCGAAAAGCAGGCAGAGGAGCGCGAGAAGCAGGAGGCAGAAGGGAGGCGGCAAGCAGAAGAGCGCGAGAGGGAAGAAGCAGAAGGAAGGCGGCAGGCAGAAGCGCGCAATCTACCGACCACTTTCACGGAGCTCATTCAGCACTGCCATGTCCTTCTCTCCCGATCGCTGAGAATCGATTCACCTTCTCGCTCAACGACCGGAAAAATCCCCCTTCCTACCGGAAAATACTGCCCGACTCGATTGGAATATTGGACCGACTGTCCAAAACAGCTCTCAGAGGTCTACAAGTCCGTCTGCCAATATCTCCAGCCGGAGCCGGGACAGGAGCCACGTCTGTTCTCGTCTGTGGCTGAATTAGAAGGGCTTGGCCGTCGATTTGCTCGCAACCCACTTAGTAGCGAGCAAGAACTTGAGGCCTACGAGCGGTTTGGCGTTGAAGAACATGTTCACGATATAATAAATGAGCTGTGCAAACTGCCGGCTGCTTGTGAGGAGTTCGGTCTGGGAGATGGAATCCAGTTCAGCAATCATAAGAATCCCCGAACGAGAACGAACCCATTGAAGCTGATGTAAACCAATTACCGAGCACAAGTCACCCACGGCCTGACCATTTCTGCATAAGTCGTGTCGACGGTAACTCGACCATCGTTCTGACGACTGTCGAGTACAAGCCGCCTCATAAGCTGCCTGTTGCAGCTTTTCACATCGGACTTCGACCAATGGACCTATGGAAAGAAATGGTCAGATCCAATAAAATATCAACCGACCAGGAAAAAAAGTTGAAGCACAATGCAGAGCGACTCGTCTGCTCCGCCATTGTGCAAGAATATCATGTGATGATTCAGGAAGGACTTGAATATTCATATTTGACCAATGGGCTTAGCCGTGTTCTTCTCCGTGTTCCGCACGACCAGCCCAGCACAATCTACTACTTTTTCTGTGACCCTCACAACGAAGTGACCCCAGAAAGCGATATCACTTCCCAGCTATGGAAGTCCTCTGTTGCGAGGGTATTATGCCTTTGTTTGATGGCATTCCGTTCGCCTAACCGAGGACAAGAGTGGAGGAACCGAGTGCACCCAGACCTCCATACGTGGCAAACAAGCTTTGACCACACACGCTCACAGATCCCAGGAAAGGAGCTACAGCAAATCCCTCACTCCGATAGCACCAACCCCAAATTTCCGAGTCCAGAGTCCGGTTCATCTTATGAACTGCCATCGTCATCTCCGTTACCAGCCCCCTCAGAGGGCCGTCGAGTGCCTACACGATCTCAGACGAGCTGTGCACCTTCGGAGATTCGACCGCGATCGCAGTCACCTGGCTCGTCCGGCTCTGACACGAATCAAGCATCTGGCCATAAGCGGAGGATCAGTCAGGTCACGCCATCACCATCTGCTCGGCGATCAAGTCGCCAGCAAAAGACAGGGCACGACCAAGACAACCATCACCAGCGCCGCGCCGCGCAGTTCTGCACGCAGCGATGTTTACTCGGGTTGTGGACCGGGAAGAATCTTGATGAGTTGTGTCCAAACGTGGATCATCATCGCCGGGGCCAGAACGACCCGACTCAGCATCCGATATCGGCTGAGGAATTGATACTTTCATTGAAAAACCAGCTGGACGAAAACATAGATCGATGCATACCCCTCGGCGGTTGCGGCTCCTACGGCGCCCCATTCAAACTTACGTGCATGAAATATGGTTACACAGTCGTCGGAAAAGGCACCACTTCGGGGTTGTGGAAAGAAGTTTCCCGCGAAGTGCAGGTATATCGAGTGCTGCGCAAGGCGCAAGGTTCTGCTGTTCCTGTCTTTTTGGGAACGATCGACTTGGCTAAAATTTTTTTTCTCCATGGCGCTGGACAAATTCGCCACCTGCTTGTAATGGGCTGGGCAGGTGAGTGCACAGCGACTATGGAGCTGACGCACCGGCTGCGCCGCGAGATTCACAGATCGAACAAGGAAATCAAGGCGCTTGGGATAGTACATGAAGACCTTAGGCGAGAAAATGTCCTCTGGAGTGAAGAGCTTGGGCGTGCTTTGATTATCGACTTCCACCGCTCTACGTTGGAATGTCGACCGACTCTTCAACGAGCGGGAGCAGCAAAACGACGACTCCGTCGAACAGAGGAAGGCGATGCAAAGCGTCTTCGTGTGTCGCAAGAAAGAAAATCTTTTTCGACTTGTTGTTAAATTAGCGATTGTTTTTTTTTTTTTTTGTTTGTTTTTAATACCCAGGTCTCAGTTGTGATACATTTATTCAGAGAGGAAGTGCGCTCCTTCTTTCTACGCTCCGATATTACAGAGTTTTTTTGGGAGCCCGCTTGTAATGGAGGGAATATCTTAAATCAAGTACGCTAATCAGTCGCTGCCGAGGTGATTCTAATGCCTGTTATAAATGCGCAGCCGAGGTAGCTGTTCGTCGTGGCAAAGCGTAAGGATATTATTCTCTTGCTCAGTTGTGTGTTAGCCTCCTGTAGACTCGATTGCTCCGCTCTAATTTCTGGCCATCGATGTGCTTGGACATGCTTGCACCCATACACGTGGGTAGATCTCAACTGAGTCAGTCGCGGAAATTTGATCATGCCTGTTTAAAGGTGATAGGTCGACGTTTGTTGAGTTATATGTTTCAACTAAACAGCTCATTATTCGTTGAACACATTAAGAATTCTAGACCCTAGAGTATAAAAGTCGAAATTTGATGTATCCATGCTCTTGATCAAGCTGACAATTGAATGTTGATGAATATGGCCAAGCTTCAACGGGCCCGAGAACCGTGACCTCACTTTTCGCAGTCGCAACGGAAATTTCCACACCTCATCAATATGATGCAGCACTACAGCAAGACCAGGAAAGATGTTCAAGAATTGAAAGGATGAGATTGCAGGAATTCTTCGGTGATTCGACGTTGGTCCGCCTATGGATGGGTTGATCAGAAGATGCTATCGCGGACGGAATGCTTGCCTCGAGACTCCATTGATGGCTGCGGAGAATCTAGTAGACAGCGAACCTTCCTTGACCGACTCAGCATCATTTTCTCAACACCCTTCTTACTCATCTCTCTCGCTTAGTACCTAAAGCATTAAAGTTGTTGATGCAAATATTTGTGGCAAAAAGAAGACGTGAATTTTAGCAGGCCTCAATCACGAGAGGTGACCGAGCGCTTTCTACCAACCAGAGCACTTGCGCGAAAGGACGAGCCAAGCAGTCTATATACATGTTTTTTGCCCCCAGAAATTCGCCTTGCAGTTTATTCACTTAATGAAACAAGCTGAGCAGGCTCGCGTCTGAAGGCTTGAGTCTGAGTCGCCCGATCAGTCCTTCTTTGACTCAGAACCGGATTTTTCTTTATATGTATTGGGAGAATATATTACGCCCGGCAAACTAGACGGTGCCTACGAAAGATAATGTTTTCCATCCGCGATGCCAATCAGCCATCCGACCAAGAAACAAGACTTAGGCTGACTGGTCCAAATGTCTGTGGGACGAGGTCTCTGCCACAGCAGCCGGCTGAACTGATTATACAGCCCCGGTGTGTAATCCAAGAAAAACTGCAAGTATCCACGTCGGAGTATGTGAATTGAAGCCTGATGTGTCTCACTGATCCTAGAGGGACCCGACGATACATCACCCCCGTTAACTAGTGACCTGCACAAAGCCAGTGTCTACTCACTACTCTTGGTGCTTCAGACAACCAGTACGCTAGATGAAGCACATGAATGAACGGAGTGGCCAATAAAGGTGCGAATGTCCGATTACGTGTTTTGCTGGGTAGAAGATTGAGACGTGCATTCTTCCCAGCAATCTGAGTGATTAATCGCGTCCTCTGCCGCGATACAATAGTCATCTGTGATTATTTTGGTGCTCCTAAACACCGGCATCACAACTGATTTTATGAAATTCTACATAGGAATAGCCCATCGCCACCTGTGATACATTCTCGTGGGAAATGATATCGACGGATCGGAGATAAGACCAAGGTGGCCGGTACTACGACGCGTGCTCCATCGTGTCTGCTGCGGCTTTCCGCCCTCACCGCCTTCACATTGAACGGCGGACGCAAACACATTCAAACTGCTTGGCGTCCGCCTGGCAACCACCGCCGAAGACCCACCTTGTCAAGACACCCAGTGTTCAGGAATGGCCAAACAAGCTAACTCATGTCCTTTCTGCCAGAAGCGCTACGTCAACAAAACAGCCCTTCGCAAACACCTGACACAATACATTGGTGAATGGAGGCTCCCTGCCGACGGAAGACATGATGTGTTGCAGATCCAAAGCCATCTCCGCCCGCACCGGTTCAATTATCGATGCTGGACGTGCTCGAAGATATTAGATTCTCGAGCGCACTTTCGGGAACATGTCATCTACTATAGGCATTGCGGGTTGAATGAGATTCATCCTACCATCCAAGTTAAACAGCCAAGTCGTCGAGATTGGAATGAGTGGTTGCTACCATTTGACGAGAAATTGGCCACAGTCCAGGATGATATCTTTCGTTTTCTTTGCCTTCCCACTGGTGTGTCCTGACTCTGCTTTTTTTTTGTCCTTTATCTTGCCTGACGCATGCCACTGGATGCATTGCGTTGGGCTTTCACTTCGATTTCACTGCTTGGATACTGACTTGGAATGTGTGTCACGTCAGAAGTGCGCCTATTGGTATATCAGCAGATATTTTGCTACGAAGAAATACAATTTGACCAGCAACTTGACGACAAAAATGTCGATCCACGTCGAGATGGGCTTTGGCTGCAACACAACCCACCCAATAATCCCTTGGCGATTATGGCTGTAAGCCGCCGGGTCTATAATGAGGCGCGGGGGGTTTTTTATACTCGAAATAAATTCACATCCAACTCCCCTTCGGTTCTTTCTGTGTTTCTTATCGGTATCGGTCCAAAAAACGCGAAACTGCTACGTTCTGTGTGGCGGAAAACGGAACATTGTGAATATGAAGACGTGACACAAACAATCCGGCAGTGTTTACCACCGACGAATTCCAACGCCATGACACCTGACCAGGAGGTCGCGTCACGCCATGCTGAGCAGAACCAGAGCCTTCTCAGTAAACATTTTCCTCAGCCACTTCCTGGGTATGCGCACAGTAGCAGTCGATTAGTGCGGCCAGAAGTGGCGACCAGACCGTCTAGCTTGAATAGATGGCGCTTCAAAATGTATGCCAACGCTCGGAAAGAATGCCTATTTGATCGGAGCCCATGCTGGGAAGGCAAGGCTGTATTCGAGTTATGTGTACAACGTGGACAGGAAGGTGGGGGCTAGATCTTGAAACCCCGAGGCAAGACACTCGAAGCAGAGTTAGTGGCCATTCCAATTTCATCGACCGTTTGAGACCTCTGAAATCAGAAGTCCCCGTATTTGACTGTTTCTTTGGGTATGTCTTGCAAATCATCGGCAATGGCGTCAAGGGATCCCCTCACGATCGTATAAAGACAGAAATGATCCGCATCAGCCCAAAGGTACTTTCCATGGACTTGATTCCAGTCCCCTTTCGCATAGCCATGACTGAAGACTCCCAGGCTGCAAGTTAATTCTTGTCGTAATATGATGCTCCTCTGATGGCGGGATCTCCTAGCAAGTGATGAACTGTTGTCTAAGAATCTGCAGGTACATATGCTTTTTCAAATTTTCCGCGCTGGTCTGTTCCCGCCCACTAAATTTCCAGCACCGCAGACACACTACTAGATCCCACCGCAGATATACTGAAACTCTCAGTAAAGTCATCATCTGAGCGGAGTAAAAAATGTCTCCTACCTGTCTTCTGATGTGGAAATCATAGTAGATTCCAAGCCAAAGGTCACGGTCGCGACAGTCGTCCACTTGGCCACTCGTTGCATTCAAACGACAAGAAGGCTTATGCTCATTCATAGCATTTGAAGGGAAATCAACCCAAGGCTATTCAGGTTCTGTCCGCATGATGAACCGAAGAGACTTTTTTTCGTGAGGTAGACTGAAGGTAGACAGACGATTGGAACTGGCCAATCAGAGAAATGGACGGTCTTTGCTTCCATTAGAGCCTTCTGAGGACTCCAGACTTCCCGTGAGTTCCCAAGGTATCTGGTATGAATAGTCTCGCGGAACTCTCCTGTCAGCAAGGCATAGGGTCGATGAGAGAGGATGAGGGCGTGGTCTCTGTAGATAGTATTCACGATTTCCATATCGTAGTCTGATGTATTTGAGGATTCAATGGTAGCGACGATGCGGTCAAATTCAACTATCGACGGCTCAATCAACATGGGATAGCTGGTCATGATGCGGTGATCGGGATCTAGCCAGTATGCTCGAGTTAGGGCCAGCGGGCACGAAGGCAGGAAGAACAGTCCGTCCATATGCTGATACCACACGTTAGTTCAACATCCTTGGATGCACCGCGTTGACCACTCCCTTGAGGCATACTTGTAGCATAGTCACATCCGAATCTAAGCTTAGAACTCGTCGTATTGTGTTTGATTGAAAGCTAGAAGTTTCGTGAAGCTTTCCGACCAGGTGGCTAAGGCTGGGTTAGTTTATCAGCTCTCTCAAAAGTGAATCAAACAGGACATACGGTCTCCTCCGTGTCTTCTTTGGATATGTGTGGGCAATAGCTTCACATTTTATTCATCGCGGGCCTGACGAAGTAATCGACTTTTTGCCCCGTCATCATTCTCGTCGGCCGAAAACCTGGACGGGTACATCAGGAAACGATCAGCCCTGCTGTTTAAACGATGTAAGGTCTCGAAAATCATGACAGAGTTGCACAAGTAAGCAGTGTTGGTGGCATATTGCGAGTATGCAAAACGGGACCAATCCACCAAATCTTTGCTTCTACAGTGATTGGGATCCTCGCAATCAACCCTCATTGTTTGAAATCGATCGCATAATATGTTCCTCATCTGAAGGACAAGAAGGACCAGTATTATAGTGAAACAAATTGCTCGCGAGGCACCATGCAAAGCTCGCAACATCATACCAGACTTCGAGTCCAAAGTGACCCAGCTAGAAGCGTGAATGCCTTGGAAAAGCGCAAGTATGTATCAGGAATTATACCAATAGCAGATATGTCGAAAATCACACCATAACAAAGATAAAGAATCAACAAAGTTGAATGGAATGAACATAGACGATAGTTTTGCTGTGCTCGAACGGCAGAACGAAGAGACCTAAATAAATATGAACAGGACTAGGTTTTGTGGATGTGTGGATGTATGGATTTTACTATATTATACCCACCTTTCGTAAGTCAGGTGATCTGCTCCATCGACTTCATCATACAAAGACTGCTTTTTCCTGATCTACTCACATCGTAGACCCCCGTTCTGACATTACTCGTAGTCTCTCAATATCTAACAGCATATATTCTACGAGATTCCAATACGTTCCAGAACCATATAGAGTGGTAAACATGAGCACCGCCACTGTGTCTCACCTTTACCAGCTGAGCATATTGGAAGATTGCGATGGATCTGCATGAGTTTATTTCATCCTCTCCCAAGACTAAGCTCTTTACTTTCCCTATTTTCCCAGATCTTTTAAAATATATAGGAAGTGGGCTAATCACGCAAGCGAGTGAATCAATCTGAGGCACATAATTAATAAAAGAAATATAGAATTCTATACCAAGTTGATCGCTACCCAAACGACGATCTCCAGTTGATAGAGAAACTGTCGAGGACGCACGATAGATCATATATTGTGAGAGACGAGAAGAAAAGAAGAAAGAGAGAGAGAGAGAGAGAGAGAGAGAGAGAGAGAGACAGCTCTCGAACTCGTCTAGTTAGTTAAGTAACTACCATTTTCAATGGCCCAAATGCTAAGTACATATGCTCCTACGTAACTTAGCCTGGGTGCAACGCCCCCACTAACCAGTAAGGAGCTTATGGCTTAGGTACCTTTGCGCTTTATTCAATTATATCGATACCGTGCCCAATAAGCTCATCAGCTTGGTATTCTGGTATTTCCGAGACAATATTCCAGAATTTTGAGAGTTCATCCATGCAAAGTTCCCGATGGACCATAGCTAGGTTTTTCATCGACTCAAAGAAATACACGGTGTCTGTTTTAAGTTTGACCTCGATGCGATCCTCATTCGCATCACCACCCTTATTCGCATCATCGTTCACACTAATCACTTCACCTAAATACTGCAAGGCATAAGACGGCACCGCTACCAAGCGGGTGGCTTTCTTTTGTTCCTGCTGCGGGATCTGTAGGCGGGTATCAGCGCAAGGGCTCTCTCGGAGGCGGACAAAGCACAAAAGATGACTTCTCCGGCCACCGCCAGCATCTGCAGGAACCGGTAGGAGCGATAAAGCTCCGCGGGACAGTGAATGAGTGGCATACCTGAGGAACTTGCTTTTTATCATTCAACTCGAGAAGGTAAAAGTTGCAGCACCAGAAGGATCCGTCCGACAGACAATCGTTGGTCTTGGCAAATACCTTCTTGCCTTGAACGGGAACAATTGTGACCTCTAGTCCGTACTCTTCTTGAGTCTCGCGGATGATCGCATCATCTGGGGTTTCACCTGCATCGGCGGCGCCGCCTGGGCCAGCTAGGCTGTCTGTGGTGATAGTCAGCATGTAGCTCCTCGCCCAGAAAAAGCCTTACGTGGTCCGCCATAGATTTTCACCCCATTTTTGATCGTCTTTCTAGTTCGTTCATGCATGAGCATGTAGGGTTGGCCATTGACCAGGACGGGTATCAACCCCATCGTGCCTTTTTTCTGCGCGCCTTTTTTCTCCGTCGGTGAGGAAGAAATGGCGGACATGGTAGGCGGGCGGTTGACAGCAGCTTTGAGAACAGATGAGGGAATGATGACGAAATTCAAAGAGCAATGTAGTGATAGAGAGCGATGATTAAGAAGCCATGGAGGGAAAGGCGGTGTTTTATAGCCATGGAGTGATTAACGCGATATCATTGAGGGATTTACAGGGACAACGACCTACAGGAGAAGTAGCCTGGTGACCCATTAGGCTGTCTAGAGACCCACCATCCGAGTTCACCTGGTTCTTGAAGGACGGTCAGTCCTTGGCAGTACAGCCTCCTAATCTTTTCTAGACCACTGTACAGCCTCCTAATCTTTTCTAGGCCACAGTGGTCTCTCCGATTTCCAATTTTGCAGGACTTTGCGTCTATACTGCGCCTTCTATCTTGGTCTAGGATTTACGTCTGTGTTCATGCGCAGCCTGCGGATTGCTAATTCCACGAGTATAAGCCTTGAGGCTGAGCAGCCCGATCTAGGACAGCGTAAGCCAGACTTTACTTTTAGTATGAATTGCCCAGCGCCAGCACGACATTCTAGGCCATGAAAGGTCCCAAACACGCATCAGAGGAACGAAATCACGCACGATACGCTATTGGTCGTGCCAAGCCCAAATCCCTCTGGGTTCTAGGAGCATAGTTGAGGATTTGCTGCCGCACCAGAGTTGTGGGGTGGACATAGCTAGCGTGCTTCATTCGAGTAATCAAAGCGATTCGGTGACAGTCTCGTCTCTATGCGACCGCGGTATATCATTTTACAAAATCTCAACATGGTACCCAGTGAAGAAGGGAATATATATGCACACTCACAGATGCGCGGGTCGATCCAGCTGTTCGCAAGCAGCAAAAGAGATGCTCTCGATGGAGCGTACGATAATGGAAAAAGACAGGAAGCTCAGCTCAGCCAAAAATGAGGGGAAAGGTGCTTCATTTCGCAATCAGGGCGTTGCGCATACTAATGTGCGATTTGTGGCGCACGGGAGTTAGGCCCAGTATCGTATCAGCCGAGTGGCAAGTTCTGTCCCGAAAGAGACGGCAAAAATGTGCTCTTGGAATTTAAGACAAGACCTGATTATTGCACCTATTCAATGAGTTGGCATGGAAGAAGGAAGCGAACTAGACGTTGCAAGACTCCCTTGGCACATTTTTTTGCTGCATCGACTTTTCTGGAAATTGAGCGTATTTACGGAATATTTCCGATAGAAAAATCCGGGTATCCTGCTGTCCCGTATGACGGATAAGACACATAATTAAAGGCCTGACTCATAATGGAATAGCTCCCGGATATAGCGCCAAGAGAGAGTGAAAGAGTGTGATCATTGTAGAAGCTGAACCTGTCCTCTACTGTACCTCAAAGGTTTGATATATCGTTAAAATAGGGACGATGCTGTGTACGTTGAGAAACCCCAAAAATACGCTTCCGCCAATGAACGCTTTTTCAAGATGGCAGCATACGCCGGACTTTCCAGCCTATACAGCACAACACGGAAGTGTTGCTTTCCTGCTGCGTTTTCACATAATCTGTACGAGCCTTTTGAGCTAGATGTCAAGACATATTGTTATGAAGCGAGGCATAGAGACCCTCAATTGCTGACTCAGGCGTGACGCTATTTTCTCAAAGTTCATACAAACACTGGAAGCCCCTATCGTTGCGAGTGATACACAAGATCTGTCACAAGTCAACGTGCAAATTTATGGGTGAGTAGAAGGATCTGACAGTTACAATAAATAGTTGAGGTAGTCTGCATATCATGTTTCATTGGGAGGGGTCAGGGCAAATGAAGCACGCACACACACACACCCACACATCCATATGTACTGTAACCTTCGCGGTTTGCTGTCAAAAAATAAGATATCCCATCAGGTATGTGCGAATGAGTTTAATTTGACAAACACCCAAAGACGCTAGCTAGTATATCTAATATCCAATAAACCGCGAAACCATTAACAGTAAGGATCGAAAGGGACTTCGATCTTTCACTAATAGTTGAGTTTTGCCTATCGTTTCGACGCTAAACAGGCCCCAGGGAAGCACCACATGCTGCGATAAAGCAGCTCCGGCATGCAGAAGTCAAGACTAACATTCTGTCAGCTTGAGGCTGGTTGTATTGTGCTTTTCTTTGCGTTTGGGCAGATGTTTCCAGGGTTTTTACTTAGGATTGACGTAAAAACAGACTGTTTGTGTTACAATTAGATACAAGGCGTATCCCTGTGCCATGTGATCAGGGGTTCGAATCTCTGTTTAGAACGTGGAAGGCAATACCGGGTGCTACCGTAGGATAGCCCGATGACACAGGGTTCTGTTTATTCCAGCAAATCAGTGTAGCGACAAACAATCTCGAATCATGTTTCCCAGATGGGAACCTCTTAATCTACTGAATTGTTTACATGCATGGCTTAGATTTTACGGCTCATTGTTTGCAAAGGAGGCTTGCCGCAATACTCAGTAGTACCCGAGAAGTGACGCGAGGGCGTAGATCAGGGCATATACCAGATGAATTTAGGAGGTTAATATCGTAATACCTTACTCACACCGGGAAAAAACAGTGCCGAGAAAATGTGGGCAGCTCTCCTCACCATATTTACAGACCCGTGAATATTATAGTAAACAAGGCCCTCGAAACAATTGGGGTAGATACACAACAATGAAGTCTTTTGGGAATTTACGATTTGCATAAAATAAGTGAGCGCTCTGAATAAGGACAATCTGCATTGCGAGTAAGTTGACGGTTCAGATACATTGTGATCAAAACCATCCACGGACCAGTGATTAAATGGTCAGTTTGTGAAAATTGGCCTCGACGGACGATCTCGCTGATTCGACGAAATCAGATGGAAACAACAATCGGCCATTGAGAATGTGGCCGATATGTGTTCGTCCAATATCCTGGCAATCCTTTCTGATCTGCGACGTCAAAACCCTGAGGAACTGGATCGGGCTTTCACTGAAACCTTGTCCCCGCCCTTGATTGCCGCCTTGGATGAAACCATCCGCGGCAACCACCAACCCCGGTGGTGTTTTGAAATATGCCACCCCTAGAAACTCACAGAGGTCCTTGTACTCGGAGTGGGAACCAAGATACAGTTGTCCAGAGAAGAGGTTGAGCTGGATGCGAAGTAAATCAGGAGCTTCGATCTCGTCAGCGTTTTGAGGGACAGTGTATAACGTGAGTCTATCCAATGGAAGAAAGCTTTGATTTTGGCGTGGTG